GTGTGAAGGAAGGGTAGGTGGACGAATTTCTGCTTCAGTGATAACTTGATCCAGGTGTCCCAAACATGCAGATGAGACAGTGATGCCACACCATCTCTATTATGTGCATGTTTGTCTGATGCAAACTTCCTGTGAAGGACATCAACCCCAAACAGCAGCCCCTCCAAAAGAGATAGAAAGCCAATGAGAGGATGGAGAAGCAAAAACATTTAGACACAGACACAAAGGAGTGGAAGCTGTGGTGTGAACACTGGATAAAGAGGGTTAAGATAAAGAAAAGATTTGTGTGGTTCCTCCGGCCGTCGTCTCCCTTCCTACCACTGGGAAGAGGGTCAAAGACCACATTGTTTCTCCCTATGCATCCGTTTGTGCCCATCCCATGCTCCAGTTTAATGCCTCTGTGGTCCCATGAATACATTCTTCCTCTTTCTCTGTGTATACGCAACACCCTCCCCCTGAAACTAGCAGTTTAGTTAGCCTGCTGAAAGACAGGAAATGCCTGTTGGGCAAATGAATAAGTGCCAGCTGCCCATGCACGGTACAGATTCAGAACATCTCCACAGCATCGTCCATTCACCCTCCCAAACAGAAGAAACACAGCAAGATCAAACATGTTAAATATTTAAAATGCATTTATATTATAAAATAAACTATTTTATTAATTGCTGAAACTGTCTGGCTTGAGCCACCTGGTTCGTTATCTAATGAACGTGCTAAATAAGCTCCACTTCCTCCTGCACGTCAAACGGAACATTAAAAACCATTTACAGTACTCAGTTTTGCAACTTTCTTTTAAAAAAATGTTGGCAAGTGTTTCAGTTGCACACTCAGGCGTGATATAATGCGTCACCAGTAACGTAACACTGGTCATGCTTCCTGCATGCCGTTATGTAGCCTCCCTCTTAAGGAAGCAACAACGACCATCCCTTAATCAGAAACAAAGAAGGAATTCTTCCACACAGATGAAACCAACAGCTTCACAGGGTTCGTTTCAGTCACTACAGCCAGTCCAGACTAAACGATTAGAAAAGTGTGTAGCGCTGCTCGGGTCACCCAATAAAAACTGGGTGTTTTAGATTTAAACAGCAGAAGTACGACAATGTTTTCATAACCGAGATGTTAGTTTGGCAACTTTGTTTTCTCTTAAACGCTGCATCACAACTCCATTTTACCATCTTTAATATATTAAAGGCTAATTAGTCTGTTACCTTTGACTTTTGGCACAGACACCTGTTTAGAGACGAGCTGTCCTTGTCTACCAAATGTCCAAGTCCTCATCTCCAGCTGCAGACCACGAAGGGCTATGGTCTGAATCCGGGGCAGCAGCTTGATATCTGAAGTTTCTAACTTGAGCAGTAAAAACATTTACAAAAATAAATAAATAAATAAATAAAAAAAACAAAGAATGCAATGTGCATCTGTGTTAGCGTATGTCCCGTTCTTCTGGTCCCAGCTGTACCCAGATGGCCCGAGAACACCGAGTGCTGAACTAACAGAGACAAGATAAAGACCGAGGTAGTGAGCTGGAAGAACAGTGTGGCCCGACACCTCACAAAGAATTAACTCAGCTCTACTCCTTTTGCTTTTGATGCGACGGTGTTAGAATACACATCTATGGTGCGTCCTCAGCAGTAGACACTGCCCAGGTGTTTAATACATTAGATATGACCGTGTTAGTATCCAGTTGCCTTTGGTTGCTGAAATGTATTGTTTAAAGCAACTGTGAAGTAAAAAGGGCCAGTCTGGCCACTTGACTTATTCAATGATTTTGTGCAGACTTAAAAAAATCCAAATCCAGTTAAATCCAAAAAGCAAATAAACGACTGAACTTTTACCAAATACCAATGACAAATAGTACGATTTTTAATGTAATGAATACAGAAAATGATGCAAACATGAGAAAAATACAACTTATTTATTCAAGTAGAATTTTTTTACTAAACTTCCTTATTTTAAAAATGAAAATTTAAGGGAACCATGCCAACATGCAATGTGGTGTCACACCAACAATTCTTTACACAATAAAATATTGAGAAGCATTCTCAAAAAGCAATTCAAGGAAAGTCAACTGTGAATAAATGACATTTCTGACATTTATTTTTTACAGTGTGCATATGCATTTACCTCACCACACCTTCCTACCTCGTCTCCACCTTTCTATGTTCTTCCTTAAGCTCCAGTCCTACCAAACTTTCAATTTCTGTCTTTCTGAACCGCTTGCCCCACTGATATCATCTTCCTCACTCCACCTTCATTTTTTCCTCCTTAACCAGCTCCCCTCTCACCGCGTCTTTAGGTTGGTCAGTTCAGCGAGGCAGAGTTACATTCCTGGGATGCCTCTTACATATGGTCCACATTCCTGCCGGTCTGCTGAGAGGCCCACAGCTCCACACTGCAGGCCCTGCAGAGACCAGCCCAAAGCTGTGAGCTACCATAATGCTTCAGGCTCAAAACACGCAGACTTGCACAGGTTAATTACAACCCAACCTCACCCCTATACGGTTTTCATACAGCTTTAATTTAGCTCTACACACATGAGTGCAAACGTAACAGTAGTTGTGCCATTTTAATAAAGGTGCAAAACACACCATTTTTTAAATTATTTCTGATTACCAGTCATGTAGACTGAACATGAAAATGGTCTCCTACCTCCATCTCCTGCACTAGCTTCTGATAGAAAACAGAAGGGGAAACTAGGATTTGAAAAGCCTGACAGACCTATGTCACACTGTCACTTGACATTCATGAACTCACGATGGGGAAGACTGTTGTCGGTTTAACGTCCAGGAGACAGCGTCTCTGCTAGTAAAGCTAACTGTTAGCATTAGCAACTCCACCACACAGCAGGGCTCCTCCAGGCTCTTGTTATTTGTGCTGATAAATCATCAACATTGCAGAGCAAACAGTCAGTGGTAGAGTTGCATTGCTCATAGCCAATCAGAGGCAAGATATCGGAATATCAAGGAATAACACTGCAAATCCCGCTGTGTTAAGCTCGCCTCTACACAATGCAACATAAACTTGGACAAAGTTGGAATGCCATTCGAAGATCTGCAGAAGTCGAGGTGATTCAGGACGGCTGAAAGTATGACACTATTTGGCTTTCTGTCGTCTTGAGGGTTTAAAGGGGGTGGGTTGGTTTTCATCTCAGTGAAAACTCAATCACCACAGAAAAGTGACTGCTCCTAATGCCAAAGTGTCTTCCTTCTAGGAGGGGAGCAGGTTGAAGTTACAGGCAGAAACACTGCACCCGGCCTACACCTGCTTCTGTAGGTCACACTTCACTGTGCTACTCTCATTCGCACATTCTTGTTTAGTGAAAATGTGCACATGCAAGCATAAAGCACACCTGCCGCTCCATGAGATCCTGCACATACCGCATCATGACTACCACGGTGACAAGACACAACGTCCTTTGATGCCTAATTTCTTCACTTTGCTTATTAAAAGTAAACAAGGGTGTTGGATGCAAAGAAACCCACCAGTGAGCTGGTGGAAAAATTTTTGTTGGAGCTAGTCGAGTTTGGCCTTCTGAGGCTGTCTGGGTGTGGCCATTGAATTGCGCAACCTCACTGCAGCTACTGCATTCCCATCGCAGATCATCCTGTCTTCGACTGACCTTCAGCACCCGTCAGTGTTCGGTCCTGTTGGGTTACACCAACTCACTTGATGAGCCGGTCAGAAGTCATGATTCAGTTTTCAGTGGTGCTGATCAACGGCAACACTCCTGACCTGCTCAGAATCTAGAAACTTAGATGGAAAATAGTGTTTGCCCATCAGAAGGAGATATTTTTTTACAAAATAAACCCACACATATGCCGTGTGTGAGGATTCCGTTAGAAATGGTCTAACTTGACATTTGACCGAGCTTATAGAGCATCAGATCCACTCGTTTCCTCTCTCACATGTCCTTTCTGTGTGAGGAGGGGCGCTACGGACGTCACTGCTGGACGGCTGCATTAATCAAACCCAGTGGCACGGTGGTAACGTCTGTGTCAAATAACTGCTTACACACAAACACACACACGCACGATATTAAGCAATCGGGCAAAGCAAAAATTCAAACAAGGTGTCAAAGAAAGTCAGAAACCAACCAGAATATGTTGTATTTATCTGGTTAACTCCCCCTTAAGTGGATTCTGTATGTTTAGTCCAACACCAGAAAACCTAGACTGTACTTTCAACCAGAACTTCCTACTCCCACAATGCACCACTGTAAGTGTTCCGTTTCCATTCTTACACATCTATAAGTAGAACAAGCTCAGAAACACTTCCTCCTGGAAGCGTGGGTGGGAATTTTGCAGGTTCTGTTAAACAGGAAGGTTAAATTTATTCCCGGACCTGCCTGGTTATTCAAACGGGAGGCTTTGATTATTTGACACGTCCCAAAGTGGCAATTTCTTATGAATTATTTTGACATGTTCTAAAATGACAATGTGTGGCCCTTTCAGCAAAATCATGATTTATCACTTAGTTATAATAGTTTCAGCTGGGTGGGCCAATAGAAGGGGCTAGTGAAGATTTTTTTTATTTATTTATTTTTTAAGATTTTGAAGAATTAAAGCAGATTTGACATGCGTGTAGCAGGAACAGGTGGGATACAGGTGTGGGAATAAAAACAAAATGCAACAATGAGAAGTCACTGCTCAACTGTGACTATGATCCTTCAGGAATCTGAGCTGTGAATCTATTAAATAAACATATTTTAAACATACTGCCTTCTTTAATGCAGAAATCTTTAAACTAAGATTGCATAGACCAGAGTAGGAGGGCTGCTTTGAAAATTACATAATCTGTGGACTAGGGTTTCTCTTTTCTTCTGTTAAATGGAAGCACACATGACTTGCAACAGGTTAAAAGATCAGTGGAATTTCTAAGAATTCCTGAACTTCCAGAAACAAAACGCATGCAGAAATTTAATTGTGCAAAGTTTTTACAACTCAAACCAAAGCGGATCGAGAAAAGATGAGCAAGAAGTCCACATTTACCCAAATTCTTACCTTCAATCAATCAATCAAAAACCTCTGCGTGGATTCCTGGAGGCAGACCATGCCAGGATATGAAAGATCTGCTGTAGGCACCTGGAGATAGTGGGAGAGGAGGGAGGGAGAGCGGGGAGAACTTGAAAAGGGGAAATGAAAGACGGCGGAGGCCGAGAGCGTGAGGAGGAGGAGGAGGCGGCGGCAACTCTTCACATCCATGTTGCTCTGCAAAGGGTGGGGCCTCGAGGAATGCACGTAGCTCTCTTCACGAATTAATGCTGATCGTGATTAGACACAGGACTGGTATCAACTACACGAACTAATGTATTACTAAACAACAAAATGTGTAATTTCCAATCACTTCTGCTCAGACGTTTAGGTTAGGACACACCCGATTTAGGGCAGTGAGAAAATACAGGATTATGTTTAACCTCCAACTAAACCTTTTTCAAACACCAAAAGTCTCCACCTATTCCTTTAAACATTGTCTAAGCTAAAAGAAAGTTGCTCAAACGTAAATGACTTACTTCTGCTCAAATCAATCCACAAGCTCCACAAAACCGCACGAAGATGCTCCCGGGCCGTGAATTTGCGCATTTTGCGCAGCTTTGACGGAGTTTACAGGACTCTCTCCGGGCTGATTCTTTTCGCCCCACGCCCTGTCTGACTGAATCATTCAAGCGGACCTGGCTACCGTAAAGTTGCCACGTCCGTTTTATGTCACACCAAACCAAAACGACCCGTGAAGCGGTCCAAATCCGACTCCTAAACTGCGCAGCAGTCTCATTAATCACAGCCACAGACGATGGGGGAGTTAAGTAATGAGGCACGCGGACAAACACGTCTAATTCATATTTGTTAGGCCCGTGGTGCCTAATAGTCCTTTATGAAACGACATTTCAAAAGCCCCGACACGTGTCGTCCAGTTTCCAGCCTCAAAAACTCGGTTTTGTAACAATTTCAGTCCCAGAACCTTACAAAATCCTCTGCCACACCTTAACTCTGTCATTCTGTTTCGTGTCACTCCCTGAGGTTTCGACGTGACGCAGAATTCACGTAGAATGAGACAGCGGCTTTAGCGTAGCGACCCACTCCGGCGTTAGCCTTTAAAACCTGAGAAAAGGACCGGTAAAAGCGCTCCACCGTGTGCATCCGGTTGTCCGGTCCCACCCCGTGTGTGTGTGCTCCTCGCGCACAGCTCGAGGTTCTTCCCCGGTCTCTCTCCCTTCGGTTCAACTCCGCTCTTCAAACCGGCTTCTCACTCCGATCAGCTGGCAGCGACGTGACGTAGATAATCACCGGCGTCCAATCAGAGACAAGCTTGGATAATAGTCGCTGAAACTCACGATGACGATCAGCCAAACTGGCCAATGACAATGCGCAATTCTGTCAGATGAGGGTGGGTTTTAAAAGCACTGACCAATCAAATCACAGCCGCCCTTGGGAGGCGTTGCATCCTCGGACCTATTAGGTGTTATGAGTGTAAGTGCTGGGAACTTTTCAGCAGGACACAGATGAGAATATACTTATACAAAACTAGCTAATATATTTAATTGTGCTTGATTATAGATCACTGGTGAACACTTTAAGTCACCATTGTGACCAGTTTGGTGCTCTGTTCTGTTCTGGCCACAGTTTATCGGATCTTTGGACTATTGCAATATGTTTAGCTGTTTATTCCTCACCTTTGTACAACTACAGGAAATTATATTTTCTGATTAAAAAGTAAAACAACTGCCTCGCTCCCACTCTCTAGGTTAATAATAAGCATGTCTCACCATGCTCGTTTAGTGTTTTTGAGAAAAAAGCTTGTATGAGTAAAAACAGATGACAACTTCCCTGTTAAGTGAAAAATGCATTTAATGTAAGGTTATGTGATCCAGTGTGGTAATTTACTAATCCCTGAAACAATTCAAAACAAACAAACAAAAAAGATCTGTAGGGGGGGGGGGGGGGGGGGGGGGTGCCTTTGGAAAAATTTCAAAAGGGGCCAGTTGGGGAACGCTGGTTCTCTTGAGCTGGCACCACCAAACCAAAAGCCATAGCAGAACTTTAGGAGTTTAGTCACACTTTCACACTCAGACTATAAATATTACAGTAATGTAATTAGGAAATCACATTCTCTTTCTTTAGGCGTTTGGGTTGCTGTGATGGGCATTGTTGAATTGATTTAGTCTTTTCAAGTTAATTTAAAAGGTCTCTGGTAATTTCCCTCAAATTAAATTCAATTAGGAGCTGAAATGCTGTTTTTTCTGCCCTCAGACACAATAGATTGAAAGCCAGGTCAGACAACATTCCCACTAATCAGATCAGCTCTCCTAAGGGACTCGTACAACGTCTCTATACTGAATTTAAAATGTTCATCACCAACATCTGGACAACCAAAGATCCTTAAGCATTTTTCAATTGTTTTCCAGGGTTTAACTTTGCATTTTTTTTTACCCAAAAAACAAACACAGCATTCCTGAGGTTTGGAGCAGAGAGAGTCGGATTTAACCACCACAAAAGTGATGAACTTCTCATGAGTGGAAACCTCAATTGGAGGCTTGCTCATTGAAGTCACAGTTCCATGTTTAGAAAAAAAAGACTGGAATGTGCAAAAATTTCCTTTCAATTCTGAAAAAAGCACATTTGTTCCACAGCTGTGGAAGCAGCTCTCATCATGACTGATGGTGACATGAAGATGTACATGATGTGATCCACATAACAAGGCCCAAACACACAACTGTCTGCGTTTTTTGTAACAAAGCAAAACAATTGAGGATTCAGCGTGACATGAATCCATGAGCTATGGATTTATTTCCCAAATGGATATGCTTCTGAGTTTCCTCTGGCCTCTTTAATCCAATGCCATCTTGTGCTGTTAGATCTGCTGTTTACCCACACATTGTCATCCTTCGTCTGAGGCTCGGAGCAGCGAGGAAACAAAATCAAACGCACCTAACCGTCAAACCCTTTTGTAACATACTGGATTGTGTTGTTGCTTCAACGCGGTGACACAGCTTTAATTCATTGCCTGAATATGTGTGGAAGTGTTCACAAAGCAAGGCCAGGAATGCACCATAAGCACACATCAATCAAGAAACCAGTCCTCCCTCCCCTCAGCCTGCATGCTTACGGATCCAACCGACACTGTGAAGTGGCCGTTTCCTCCTGGAGCAGACTGCTACCATCACTTTTCTTTGCCCTCTTCTTCTTCCTTGTCTGTTAAATCACCAGGGTAAGCTGCATCATTCAGATTAAAGCATGATACTCACAAATGTAAAACTGCAAGGAGAATAAACCAAGAGTTGAAAAATTCAACACATGACTCATGAGCTTAGCTAAAGTCTAAACATGTGTGCAGATAATTACAATAATGAAACTTGTTTGTGTTTTTATAAGAATACATACGTATAGGCAGAATTCACATTAGAAATGTTTACATGGAAAATAAACGCTGCAGTTTGGACAATTGTTCAGATTTGTTTAGGAAAAATACTGAATGTGGTTAAATGTGCAGTTGGACATGGTTTGATTGTACTTTTTGAAACGTGTAGATATCGGCGTAGCAAAGAAATCAAGATGTTGACTTGATGTTGATGAATTTCTCATCAGCTTCAGAGTCAATAGGGTTTAGAGGTAAAATTTTTCTTCAGTATTTAGAAATTCATTTTGCACAAACATTCAAAACTGCTATAGCGAATTTACAGAACAAGCTAGGCTTTTAACGCAAACACAGTCAACACCCACCCCTCCCCTCGGGTGTCTTCCCTGAGATGCCTCTGGCGGAACCGGAAACCTGCCTTGCCGGAGGAAACGAGATAGTGCTAAACACCAGTCACCGTTTTCTAGGTCCAAACATCTTTAGTTGTCCATGACTTCAAATGGTGTTTTTGAGACTCTGGTAGTTTGTCCTAAAGTTGAAGTGGTAGCAGCCGTCTGTTTCTCCTTCTCTGGTGTTATTGAGGGGAGAACCTGACACCAGTGGTGTTCTGTTGCTAAATACACAAGTGCGTAATGAACGGAGGACCCAGGGAAGTGCGGCAGATCGGTGAGACGGACAACCATGTGGTCCAGTAGTTGCTTTTGGTCTGAGCTGTGAGACACCCACATTATGATCATATTTCATCTTTTAAAAAGTTTCCACAATTATAGTTATACTATGTTCAAATGTTGTTAAGATGAATGAAAAATAAAGTTTTAAGCTAATTTTCCACATTTTATTTGTGTAACAAAACTTAAACTATTTGAAAATGAATCGGCGAATTTGGTGGACATGAAATGCTATAAACATGAGATGCCAAGAAAATAAAATACAGAATTTGTTGTAATAAAAAATATAATTTGCATTGTTCCAAGGTTTCCATTTTGAAGAAAAACAGTGTTTGAGATCAAAATGCATCTCATACTGGCAGTAATGTGAGGCTGTAGGTGTGAAAACGCAGAAATCCTGGCTTCTGAAACCTAACTGGCTCTATTTGGATTGTTGTGTTTATGTGAAACTTGGAGCTTAGTCTATTTTCCTCCTTTTTCTAACTACTTCTCAGGTGGCTCTGTGAAGTAAACTATTTTCAAAGTTAAATATTGCCGGGCTGTTTTGTTCAGGCATGTAGCAAATAAAGAATTTTTACCATAACTTGGCATGTTTGGACAGTCAACTGCAGTTTTTCCTCAGAAGTTTCTCAGGTGTTGTGTGACGCATCTTCATCAGCTGCTTTTTCCTCAGGGTGTGACCAACCCAGCCCACATGTCAAGTCTTCCAGGTTGGCCACGCCCACCTCCGTCAGATGCTCACTGAAGAGGGAATTCCAGTTATGTGAAAACTGGTAGATCCCATTGAGCAAGGTCGATTGTTCATAGGGAAAAACAGTTGACAAGGACATGTCATCCCTACATCTACGAGAATTCTAATGAAGACCGCGCCAAAACAGGTCAAGTGAAACTAAAATATACATATTTTCTACAAGTTAGAACAAAATAACCTGACAGCAAGTACTTGAAGAAGAGATTCTGAACTTAATCTAAGTTAGTGGACTGACCACAGGCAACCCCACATTTAGGGTTGGATGCTGTCCCTTCAAGGCCTAGTTGTCTTTGACCAAGGTGTTTCTTTAATTACCAGAAGTGAATTGATGAAAACATACAAAGACAAAATGCACATCTAATGGTGATGATAAGATTTAAGCTTGTACAGTTTGTTCTTCATCACTAAAACACAAAAACATAAAGAGAATACATTTGTCATGGTTTGGGGGATGAGTCTAACCCAAGACGTGCAGAATCACAACTCCATACACAGAATGAAGGCAAGTAAAACAGAATTTATTATTTAAGGTGAATTTAGGGCGCGCTGAGAATTCCAGCGGATCAGGGGGAGAAAACGGGAACCAGGGTCTGAGGGAGAGCAAACCAGAGGTGAGTCCAGGAGATAAACAGTCCAGGCAGGAATACTGAGAGGGGACTTACGGGAGATGATTGGGGAATGAGGGGAGGTAGAGAGCTGGGGATGATCCAGAAGGGAGATCCTCTGAGCTGGAAAGGGAGCGCAGGGTTCGAGAGTGAGAGCGGGTCGGTCGGGAGGAGGATGGTGTGAGCGGGAAGGTCTGGGAGGAGGAGGATGATGATGAACGTGGCTGAATGCGGAGTCCAGGAGTCCTATGGAGTTCGAGTGAGTAATTCCAGATGAGCGAAGAGCCTGAGGTGGGTGAGCCCCAAAATACAAAGATTACACAAGTTCCAAAAACAAACAAGAGCCAAAAATACACTGAGATTAATCATGAGAAACCTAGAGCGCTAGAGCGAGGGCCAGGCACTACCAAGTCGTAGTAATCATCCTGTGTCGAGCTGTGTTCACATCCTCCTTTAGTAGTAGACCCGCTGAATCAGCTGATGCGATGCAGCTGCCGCTCCCTCAACCCGCTAATCATCCGATGTGGTGCAGCTGCCGCTCCCTCGCCCGTGAACATACTCAGAGATAGTTTGTGAGAGCGAGTACTCACCCCGGCTCACAACAACATTTAGCTTCACCCCAACTCAGAGAACCCAACGTTACCCCTTAAAGAGCAAGTCACCCTCAAATCAACTTTTTTTGCTGATAAATACATAAATGAGTTTAATCATGCTGTAGACAATTTGGCACTTTAGTGCATCTTAGTTAAAATAAAAAAAAATCTGCCTAAAACTGTCAGTGTTGCACCATCTTCAGGTAAAATACTCTGCACTGCACTTGAATTGAAATCTGCCATTGCTATTGGCCAAGAGGTACACTATGACGTTAGCTGG